TGAGTCAATTGGGCCGACCGATAAGTCCGCGCCGTCCAACCCGGTGTGACTCTTGATCTCATTGCCCTCGACCTCCAGTCCAACGGTCGCCCCCTTTGGACCGACGTTTGCCTCTACGGTGTGATGACCGGTGCGACCGATATTAACAGTGGCGCCGTCTCTGCCCACATGTCCTCTAAATTCTTTTACTATTACCATTTCAATCCCATTAATTATAATTATATTAAATGTATTTTGTAAATAAAATTATTTGAATCTTGAATAAATTTGATTTAATTTTAAATGACAATAATTTTGTTTTACAATTGCAAAGTGTCAACCTAGTTAGTTCGTTTGAAAATGCGCACCGACTGATTTATTGGCCGCACTTCACCCCCGGTCACAAAAAACTTTATGCCAATTTCAGGTGAGGATGCGTCCTCACCCGTGAAAATATGATTACTCCAACTGCCGGGTGTTATATTTATTGGATCAACGGTTAGGTGGTCACGACAAAACTGTACGGATGACAGTCTAGGTGCATTCTCTGACTGTACGCCTTCACCAAAACCTAGACTACCATTACCTTCGGCCCGGAAAAATTGTCCCGCGTATTGGGCCGTCACATCTGACCACTTGTATGCGGGCCATAATGATGTAGGCTCAGATTGGCCAGGTAATTGAACATAAATAAATCCAACGGGAATTTGTCTTTCCTCCAATCGGGAAATCTTTAGCTGATCTTGATCCAATTTACGTAAATTGTCCCTGAACAAACGTTCTCTACGCTGCAGCGACATGGGCACAATGCGTTTACATATACATGCATTTTTCTTGATACAAGGTTTTTCGGACCATTTACCCAGACTTGACTCATCTGCAGATATTTCCACGCAATCGCTTTCATTGATAGGGTGACCAGGTATCCAGTTTTCAAACTCAGCAATAGTACTATCCGCCCACACAATGTGCTTGTTTTTAATGCTGGCGTCGAGCCATATATTGTCAACCATTTTGTATTTTACTATCATTTTGTTGAGAAAGTATTGTTCTTCTTTTGTATTTATTGTTGGAAGTGATGATTCGTTTTGATTTTGACAAAAGTTGACCACGGCTGAATAAGCATTTAAAAGTTCTGGGTAATATTTATAACAGATATCATAGTAACCATCGTTGAATAGGTCCCAACCATCACCACACACTCCATCTGAGTTAACCAAAGTTACTAAACATAATGTAATAATTTGTTACTTATTGATTTTATATTTCAATTTCAAACAATTTATTAACAAAATTAATTTGAAAATATGTTAACATTTTAAAAATAATAATTTATAAGTAATACATACGTGTATAGCTTGATAGAAATATAAATAAATATAACAGATGCATAATTATTAATAATATATAAATATCATAAATTTATTACTTATAATACAAAACTGCATACAAATATATTAACGTTAAATTCGTCCTATTTATAACATTTTTATTATTCAAATTTTAATACTTTAATCTAAGTGAAATTGATATAATTAATGTCAAAAGTAAATTTATGATGACAATTTAAATACGAATATTGATAAAAATTACAATTTATAATCAACGATGTCTCAGGTGGCAACCTAAGTACTTTGTTTATGTAACCTTTATTTTATTTGAAAAATGTAACATACACACAACCAATCTATAATGTTCCGTAGGGGAAACGCCAATAACTTTTGATTGAGTAATTCAATTTTAATGATTCCAATTAGTAAAATGTTGCCTGATAATTCAGTAATCGATTCATATATAATATGCCATTGTACCTATCATAGTTAAGTTTCTAGGTGAATTATAAGAAAAGCAATAATTCCCATTGAAAATGAATGGCTTTTTTGTACAATTATTAACTTTTTCTAGCTATATTTTTTAGAATACTTAGAGCCTAGATTAAATTTATAAAGTTTAACTAATTGAAGTTTTAGTCACACATGTGATAGATACTTTGACAATTTCACAATTCATTTTAAACTACCTGTATTTTGTGAAACAAAGGATTTCTATAACTCAAAAACTACTAGGTTAATTTTAAAATTCTATATGTCAAAATGTTCAGAATGACAAATGAGTGGACACGTATTTCAGGATTTTTTTGAAAAAATATCTGGGTTAAAGAACAGATGTCTAAAGTGCATAAAATTCTACAATTCATTTGCTTGCCAATTAAAATTTATCTATTCATTTTTAACGTTCACTAGCTCAAATTGACAAGAATTACTAATAGAAAAAAGCAATTTCTTAGATTTTCAATATTTTAAAGTTTTAATAAATTTTTCATAAAAACAAAATTTGTATAATTTTAAAAATTGTTTATAATGAAATGCCATTGACATTAGACTCTATTTGTACACATTTTCAATGGTTTTCAATGGGAATTAGTGCTTTTCTTATAATTCACCTAGAAACTTAACTATGATAGGTACAATGGCATATTATATATGGATCGATTACTGAATTATCAGGCAACATTTTACTAATTGGAATCATTAAAATTAAATTACTCAATCAAAAGTTATCGGCGTTTCCCCTACGGAACATTATTGATTGTTTGTGTGTATATATACATGTACAGTATTAGATTACAATTAAGTTTAATAACGTGAATCAATATTTAATAAACCAATTATAAAACTACAATAAACTATACTGTATATAAACTATTCAATATTTGTTTTTCATAATACTTTTATAATAATATAATATTAATAATTAATTATAATTGTTTTTATTTAAAAATACATAATTGCATTATTGACAAATCTATTCTTAAAAATTACTGAATTAGACTAGAAATGAATTACAGATGTATAATAAACTAAATTTATTTAGTTAAACATTTTATATAAAATTGTAGCTATAGTATTTATAATTTATACAAACATTTGAATTTTATTATTTTGCAAAATAAAATATACTTAAATAAAATAAAATTGTAAATAAAGTAATATATTAAGTCAAAGCAAACATTGTTTCTCAACAAGTTAATATCAGGGTTAAATCTAACGGTATTATTAAGCGTAACAATAATAATAAGTTAAAATTTTAATTATATTAAACAATATTATAATAAATCATGAGAAATATTGAATTGAATTATTTATTAACTGAACTAACAATTAAATTAATGTTTAATCAAATAATTACATAAATTTTCTTAGAAACTTATTATTAACTTATAATAAACTAGTTGGTTCGCTTGTATATGCGCACAGATTGATTTATAGGGCACACTTCACCGCCGGACTGTTCAAACCGCATAGCAACGGCTCGACTGTACGACTGTCCCGTCTCAGTACCGGAGAAAATATAATTACTCCACGCGCCTGGTGTTATACCTATCGAAGGGTACCAGGGTTTATTATAATCAACAGATACTTGTAGCAACCTAGGTGAATTTTCTGGCTGTATGCCTTTGCCAAACGCTAGGCTACAGCCACCTTCCGCTCGGAAAAACTGACCGGCGTACTGAGCCGTCACATCCGACCACGTGTATGCGGGCCACAGTGTTTTGGGCTCAGCCTGACCGGGTAATTGCACGTATATAAAACCAACCGGCACCTGGCTCCGCTCTAACTGGCTGATTTCTGTTTGATGTTTATCCTGATTTTGTTTTAACTGCGCGATTAAACTATATGCCTCGTCTAACACGCGTCGATTGTCCCTGATCAAACGCTCCGAACGCTGGGTTGACCACACGCTTACACGCTTACACATGTAGGCATTTTTCTTGCTACATTGTACGTCTTGCCATTTGCCCAAATCACCTTGGTGGGGTACCATTTCCACACAGTTGCTATCGTTGATAGGGTGACCAGTAATCCAGTTTTCGTACGCACCGCTACTACTGTCTGTCCAAACAATGTGCTTGTTTTTAATGCCCGCGTCCAGCCACACACTGTCCGCCATTTTGTATTTAATAATGAGCTTGTTGAGAAAATCTTGCTCTCCCTGTGTGTTAATTGTGGGTAGGGATGAGTCGAGTTCGCTCCGGCACGCGGTGACCACAGTTTGATAGTCACCCAAACCAGCTGGGTAATATTTATAGCATATATCGTAGTACTCGTCGTTAAATACGTCCCACCCATCACCACATGCGCCCTCTGTCCTAATCGGGGTTGCTAAATTGAACAAATTTACTTGTATTTAAATTGTAATTAAGGTATATAATGTATAACATTATAAATACATGAACATTTATTTTACAAAATAATGTGCGCAATTTTAGTGTATTGCACTATTGGTTTTTAACAAATAAATAATAATCAACTTTATACATACATGTAATACATACGATCAACACGATTACCAACACCTTGTACATTATAATTAACAAAAATTAAAAATATTATTATACTTTATCATATACTACTTTACTTATATTTTAAATACAAAGTAGTTATAATAATTGTATTTATACTATTACATTATCTTAAAAATTAATAAGATATAAAGTAATAAGATGTTAAATATGCTTAAAATACAAAAATAAAGAAATGGAAAGTTCCATTATATAAAACATATTCATGTATTAAATAACCAAGTTAAAGGATGTAGTAAATACCATATGTTATTTGATAAACTATTTAGTAATAATCGTTTAAAAATATAATGATGGATAATATGAGATAATGTAATTACACTAATTAATTATATAAATATACTGTATATTATCCGGTTATATACAAAGTGTAAAAGTCAAAATAATTAAGTAGCCCAAACAAAAATTATTTCAAAAGTAAATTAATTCAAGTATTTTTCACAATCATTGATTAGGTTTCAATTATTTTAGTTAAAATTCATATACAATAGTGATTTATAAAAATTAATTATATTAAACATTACATTGAAATCATTATTGATTTTAATTAAAATGTACATTAATTAATATAAACATGTAAACTTTATATTCCTTTATAAAATAACTTATTTAGATTTATTAAATTTATAGACAGCTCACAAACTAGTTATAATAACATCTAGCCAAAAAGGTTGAATGGATTGGACAGGGACACTTTGCGATCACCTTTACCAATAGACACACCGTCGAGTCCAATGTGAGCATTAAATGGCGAGTCTATTGGGCCGACTGATAAGTCCGCGCCGTCCAAACCGGTGTGACTCTTGATCTCATTGCCCTCGACCTCCAGTCCAACGGTCGCCCCGTTTGGGCCGACGGTTCCCTCGAGAGTGTGATGACCGGTGCGACCGATATTAATAGTGGCGCCATCTCTACCCACATGTCCTCTAATCCCGTGATTGGCGACAGTCTCTAAGCCTATTCCCAAACCGTCCGCCCCTTTGGATAAGTCCAGTTCAGCCACACCGGGTATTCCCATGCGTATGGTTTTACCCTGATTACTTTGTAATTTATCATTGTCCAATCTATTAATACCGTAATAAATATAGTCTTTGCATTTAAAAATATACTTTAATACTGAAGTTCAAAATGTTTGAAATAAAAGTTTTAATAATCATAATAATTATATATAGCATCGGTTCGTGTCTTTATGGCCAACCTATTCATCTCATTGCGTACGCCATTGGCGAACATGGGATCCACTTTCTTGAGCTCATTCAGCGCCCGGTCTCTAATGGCGGGTTGGGTCACACCTGACAGAGATGTGGCCACGTTTTTGTGCAACCTTTGCCTCCAGTCGGCGGGGAAACTGTTGTACAGCTCTCGCGGCTGTTCGTAGTTATGGTCGTCGGAGTCGTCGTATCGGTACACCTGATTGTCGGCCCTCTTGGCTGCGGAGCCGGCGGTGAAGTTTGACTCGAGATAATTAGGGTTATCTCTGATTTGACTGAACGAGTTTGGATAGTAGTTAGCGGTGGCGCCCATATTGTCGTCGGTGCGCATCGAGCCGTCTCGTTGTGTCGGCGCCAACACCCGATTGCGAGCGCTGTTCACTGGGAGTAACTGATGGTTTGTTCCCAAACTATACGGTAACACAAATTAATATAAAGTTACATATTACATTAATAAATAAACTACACATTAAGTGAATAATGTAAATGTAGACAAATAATTACCGATATCGTTGACTGTCTCCGTATGAAAACAGTCGCCCGGCCAGCAGTAGGTCGGGTGAGGGCTCAATACCAGGCACTAGATTTGCGGGACAGAAGGCTATCTGCTCTACCTCGGCGAAGAAGTTGCTGGGATTGCGGTTCAATTGCATCACTCCCACCTCGATCAGCGGGTATTTCTCTGTTGACCATTGCTAGAAATTAAGTACATATTAATTAAAAACACACAAATAAATTGCACTATTTTTGAGCGTATATTGCAATGTGTGGCCAAACCTTTGTGGCGTCAAACGGGTTAAAGCCAAAAGTGTTGGCCTCGTCTTCGGTGATCACTTGCATCTTCAGTGTCCACGAGGGGTACTGATGGGCGGCAATCGCATCGTAGAGATCCCGTCGCGCATAATCCGGATCAGTGCCTATCAAATGCAATACAATATAATTATTGCATAGAGTAGAGTTACAAAATGTACTGTGTAACATAAATTATTTAAAATATATTTAGAATTAAATAAATAATTATAAGTTTTTATAGGAATCACTCAAAAGGCAGTAGGTAATAACTTTTAAATTAAAATTATAATATACAATTCGCAAAACACATACCACTTAATTTTGCTGCGGTGTCGACATCCAGATTTTTAATGCCCTGATTAGTGATCCAGTGAAACTTCACGTAAAAGTGTTTGTCCTGACTATTGACTAACTTAAAGGCGTGTAGACTAAAGCCGGGCATATGTCGCCACCCATCGGGTATACCGTAATCGCTGTGCAAATACGTGATCAAATTCAACGTCTCGGGCCGTAGCGACTGGAAGTCCCAGAGCGCCGTCGGGTCGTTCAGACCGGAGGCCGGGTTTTTCTTATTGGCGTGAATTAGGGACGGAAACTGCGAGGCGTCTCGTATGAAAAACATGGGCACATTTACCCCAACGAGATCCCAATTGCCCTCCTCGGTGTAAAACTTGGTGGCAAACCCCCGGGGGTCGGCAAACACGGTGTCGGCCGACCCGACAGCGCCGCCCACTGTCGAGAAACGGACGGCCACTTCGGTCTGTTTGCCCGCCGCCGAGAACAGTGCCATTCGGGTGTATCGACTCATTGACGGGTTTGTGACACGGAATGTGCCGAAAGCGCCGCTCCCTTTGGCGTGAACTACCCGTTCGGGTATACGTTCCCTATCGAAGTGTGCCATCTCTTCGATGAACTGGTAGTCCTGGAGTAGTGCCGGCCCGTGAAGGCCCGCTGTCAGCAGATCCGTCTTACGTCCCACCGGACGCCCAAACAGTCCCGTCAGATGTGTCTCCTATTAGTCCACAAGTTTATGATAGAATTGTTGAATATTGGGACAAAA